AGACCAATGACTTATTCATTCCAAATACCTTTTTTCAGCAACACACACAGTGGCTATACACGTGGACATCACCATGTAGAGTCCACAGGAATCAGATAGACTACATCTATTGCAAGAGACAATGGGAAAGCTCAGTTCTTCAGCCAAAACAAGGCCAAGGAGGTGATTGTGGAACAGACCATCAGTTGCTCATATGCAAGTTCAAGTTCAAGTTGAAGACAATTTTTAAAAGTACACAGGAGCCAAAATATTATCTTGATTATATCCCTCCTGAATTTAGAGACCATTTAAAGAATAGATTTAATGCACTGAACACCAGTGACAGAAAACCAGAGAAATTGTGGGATGACATCAAGAACATCAAACATGAAGAAAGCAAGAGGTCATTAAAAAGACAGGAAAGGAAGAGGAGACCAAAATGAATGTCAGAAGAGACTCTGAAACTTGCCTGTGAACAGAGAATAGCTAAAGGAAATGGAAGAAATGATAAGCTAAAAGAGCTGAACAGAAAATTTCAATGAGTAGCACAAGAAGACAAAGCCAATTATTATAATGAAATGTGCAAAGACCTGGAGTTAGAAAACCAAAAGGGAAGAACACAGTCAGTATTTCTCAAGCTGAGAGAACTGAAAAAAAAAATTTAAGCCTCAAGTTGAGATATTGAAAGATTTTATGGGCAAAATATTGAATGATGTAGGAAACATCAAAAGAAGATGGAGGGAATACACAATTGAGCTTGATATCCCCTGCAACTATAGCGCCGAGCCCACATGTCCAACTACTCGCTCCCTCTGGGTAGCTGGCTGTAGCCAAGAAGTGACCACAACCTTGTCCCTTGTCATCTCTACTATATACCTGAGAATTCTTACAGAGCATACAAATACACTTGTAGAAACATTGTCTGCCAACCCTATACATGGTCTTGGGCACACTCTTGTCTCACTGACATACCTAATAGTTCAGCCTGTCCACCCATCTATCCACCCATATACCCATGTTAGCCTTCACTGACAACGCAGTACTGTATGGACAAAAAGATTCATCTTTGTTGTCTGTACATATAGACAACATACACCCATACACCTCTTTATGTCTTCCTCTTCCTCATTGTCACTGTGTTCAAATGACTGTTTTTTTTAAAAAAGTATTAATATTCTATTTGTAGATAAGAATCTGCAATGGTAAGTAAAAGAAAAGTAAAGAAATCTCTGTTCACCAAAAGTGAATACAGATACCAATCACAGGGGTCTTGGCAGTGACAATCACTCAAGATGTGTATGGCAGGTAGAAGGGGGCTTTTCACCCCCTTTCGGATGAGATCTGACACACCCTCTAGGAGCCTCCCATGGCAGGCCTCCCATCTGTGGCTTTCTTCAGGGTCCATGGCTGGTGAATTGGCACATTGATTCTGTAGCCCTTCACATTAGCCCAGAGTGCATATCTATGCCCTTCCCTGTCCTGTCTCTGTTGCTGGGAATAGAGAATCACGTTTGGGAGGTCCTATCTCTTTGATCTATATGGTACTGCTGGGTCCACATCACTGTTAGGTTTCAACACCACTCTGGGCCCATATGCTTCATATCCTAAAGAACACTGTTACTTGTTTTCACTTAGTGATGGCTTCTCCTAGCTTTCCAGTCATGTGATGGATCTTTTCTTATTCATGCATTCTTCTCTAATTTCACTGAAATTTGGAAGAAGAGGAGAGATAAATCCCTATGTTCAACCATACTTCTTAAATTGGGGGAGCAATATCATTTATTTATTTATTTATATTGCTGTCTTTTTTTTTTTTTTTTTCCAATTTTTATCATGATTTATGTGAAAGTTTACACAGCAAATTCACTTGCCATACAGCAGCTCACACTCACTTTGTCTTATGACATTGACTACAATTTCCCAAAGTGCAACAGCTCCCCTCTCACTTCCTCCCCGTTGTTAACTCTTCCCTGTGTCCTTCCGTCCCATGCACTCCTGCCCCCTGAGCTATGTCCCTGTGCATACACAGTCCTTCCATTCTCCCATGATTGATCTCTCCAAGGGCAATATCATTTTAAGAAAAGTAATTCTGTGGTGTAGAAGCCGCGTTTGTAGAGAATGAGACCAGAGTCAGGGCTTTTAGGCAGAAGGCCATTGTACAGTCTAGGTGAGGGGTAATGATGACCTATATGAAGACTGTGGTAGTTAAGGTTTTGTGTCAACTTGGCTAGGCCTGGTTTTGAGTGGCCGGGAAACTGATGTGGTTATTCCCCATGGTGAGATCGGTAATCAATTCCATGGTGGAATCTACTGGGCCAGCTGAGGAGCTCCCTTTGCGATGTGGTCTGCTTCCAGTATGTAAGAAGCAGCTTTGAGGAAAGTCTCAAGCTTTTGGCATACTTGAATCCTGCATGTAGCCAAGTTGTCATCCAGCAGCCTGCCATATTTATGTGCCAATCTTGGGACTCTTAATGGACTTGGATCAATGGCCTGCTGTATGGTTTGGTAATATTGGGACTGTGCCTTTTTACTTGTTGACCTTGGGTTTGATAGCCTCAGCAGCCAGCAGCTGCCTGAGTGAAAAAAGCCTCCAGCTTCAGTGGGCTGGGAGTAAGAGGCAAAGCTGAAGCCCAAGGTTGAGGGGCTTTCACCCAGCCCCTAGAGCCTGGCACTTTGAACTCAGACTCCTAGCCTCCAAAACTGCAAAAGAATAAACTACTGTTTAAAGTCACCTATTTGTGGTATTTTCTATTAGAGCAGCATGAAGTAACCAAAACAAAGATAGTGGTAGTGAAAACAGAGGAAAGGGTACCTCTCAGAGACACTTAAGTATAGAACTGACTGATTAATTAGATGTGGATAAATGCTCTGGCCATTTTATAGTTATTTCTTGTGTTGTTGTTGTTGTTATGTGCCGTCGAGTTGGACCTGACTCATAGTGACCCCTCCTTGGGTTTCCAAGGGGCGGTATCAGTACGGAAGTAGATTGCCCAACCTTCCTTCCGAGGAGTGGATGGTGGGTTTGAATCACCAGCCTTCTGGTTAGCAGTCAAGTGCCTTAGGCACTGTGTGCTACCAGAGCTCCTTCAAAGCAAAATAAAAGAGATTTTTAAAACACCCAGCATAAAATAATGTCAACTTAGATCAAATATACTTTCCCTATCACAAATTAAATTGGTTGTATTATTAGTGACTTAGTTTCATATCTTCATTGAAAGTCTCGTATATGTCATTTTCATGTAATCTAATCATTTAGATTGTAGTAATTTATAAAAAGCAACGTAATTTCCTTTAATTAAAGTTTCCTATCTTCTTAAAATTCTTTATAAAAATTCAAAAAAAAGTATTGCTGGATACCAAGATACTGCTTGCTCTGTGGAAAACATTTCCTAGCCTTCAGTCTGCCCAGGTAAGTTTACTATAGCAAAGTAAATAACACAGGGACTCTTCACTTCTAGGTTAGCATAAATTATTACAGATCTGAGACAAACAGCCATTTGTAAGATTTGTCCAAAGACATCTTATCCTCAATGATAGGCCCTCAGAGTATAAATATAAAGTTTAAAATGTAAAGAAAACACACTAGTGAATCATATTTATTTTAATATCTATTCAATTTCTCAGCAACACTAAAGAATATCTCAGCTTTGAAACATCAAAACTGTACAAATACACATATACATAAAGAGTAAGTATGTGGCACATTACCATCAGAATAAATTACTCTTTAGATTTTAACATTTTTCAACAAGGTGAGTAGAAACTTCTGTAACAAAAATACCATGTTATTATTACTTAATAATGTGCCTTTGGATAATGCTCACAAGATGACACCCACTCCATTAACATTTGTTACAAAGTCATACAATATCATAGAATACATAAAAATATCAGCAGTTGATAACATTATTCTTCTTTAAAAAGAATATACAGTATTAATGTCCAGTCCATAAAATGGCAGGTTTAAAAGTAGTCCTAAATTCAAAATGTCTATTTTAAATACTAATCTGGAAATAAAACTAAGGGGAAAAAAATGTTCTAAGTGAAATCACTGCTATTGCAACTGAACACATCTCTTCAGAGCTAATGTCAAGGTCAGGGCAGAGTCAGTGATCTGCAGCAGCAAGAGTTTGTTTTGGGGACCAGCTCACACACTTCATCTTTGTATGTGATAGGAACACAGAAGTATTTTGAAAGTCTGATGAGCAAACGTCTTACACAGTTTCGAGAACTTTCTTAATGACATGAAGATGAGAGAAGCTTTCCTTGGTTAATTATGAAGTCATCAAGCCACTGGATTTTATAGTCACCAGGAGTTAATAGTTGTATTGGTCCAAGTCATGCAATAGACTCTTTCTTCACTAAAATCAGATGGCATAATTTGGATATTCTCTGTGCTAAAGAAAAGTTTATTTCTAAAAAAGACATCTTGCTCAAGATTGGAATGACCTTTGCTTTCATGAATCAAAGTAGAAACACAAACGAGAAATTAAAATCTTTCTGCCATTGCCAAAGTGGTAGAGGCTTAGCCAAACAGGAATCAAAACTGACAGCCCACAGAGGTCTACCTAGTTGCTATGGGAAAAAAAAAAAAAAAAAAGACAAAACAAAACTTTGGAGGCCAATTACTGCAAAACAATGAAATATAAAGTAACTCAGGCAAATATACAACAAATGAACACTAAAACACTCTGAACACTTAGTTTCTGGAAGCATTTTTTTAAAAGCTTATCTTTACTATCTATTAATTTGTAGATCAAATACTTGATACTTTGGCAAATAGTTTATTCAATACTTTATAAAGTCCTACCCATATATCAGCATGTGGGCAATGATGCTAAGAAAATGCATTTCAATGCTAGATAAGAAAGAAAATAGGAGATGATTTTTGCTCTTTAAAGTACCCACTGTGGCATATTTCTTCCAGAGCTCAGTAGAAATAGACATCTGTAAACATTTCCCAGGGTTAGTGCCTTGTATACACTGTGGGGCAATGCTTTGGGCTCCACACTAGAGCCCTCCTACCGATGGCCTCCGTACTTGGCCATCCAATCTGTCCTTCCATGCACAGAGTGGACTGGTTGCGCACGGGTCACAAAGTTTAGATTTTTTGCCGTAGGATTATAGGTAGGTCCTGAAAACTGCCCCCGACCAGTTTTCGTGTTCCAAGTATATTCTGAAAGAAACCAAATCAGGAATTAGAATTTTGTTCATTTGATGATCAAATTCAAAATTAAGTAATTAATCCTGTCATTTTGTGGGGGATATTTTGAATTTATGTTAAAAAGATTAACCCTGGCCTTTGAGGGTTTTTTATTTTTATTATGTTGACACCAATTAGAATTTTCAGTAGGTTAAGAATCAACACATCTGGTTTATAGGTCTGATTGCTGACCTTTCTGATCTGAGTTCACTTAAAACCACTTAGAGATAAAATACAACCAATGACCAAGGAGAAGCCCTTGGCTCAGATTCAGTGGGCAACACCCACAATGAACTCCTGAAATCACACCAGGGTGAAATCTAAATGGTATTCAAAATTCACAGTAGCACTACAGAAAATCTATTTGTAATTGTGAATCTCATAAAGTTCTGGCTTCAAGGTGCTACAAAGTGAGGTTCTATGATAGATTCTTTTTTTTTAAAAATGAAGACTTAGTCAAGAAACTTAAATTCTTATTGGGAAAATTATGTATGAAAAAAAAACCCTTTAAACACAAAGATGTACATTCCTAGGATCACAAATCTTTCACCACAAAATTGTTTTATTCATCCATTTAGCTAACTAAAATTTTGTTGAATTTTTAAAATTTGCTAACCATTTGTTTTTATTTGAACAATTTATAAGTTAAAATTGTTTAAACATCTCAAATGACAAAATAGTAAATCATTTTACAGAGAAGCTGAATGTCTTCTATAGTCCCTCCCTCACCCCCTTCTTCAATTCACATTGAGAACTAGATATCATAGGCATTCTGTCTGAGGAGGGATACTTGATCTTTCCACTTGGGATGTAAATATCTTTTCACACTGTGTAGTTTCCATCATTCTTGGATTAAACTCTAAATGTCAGTCTTGTATATTTAACCCTGACTATACCATATTTCTTTGCATAGTTTCCCATTTGTTTCCTTCTTATACTTTTACTGCAACAGTGGGAGTACAGGAGGAAATTATGAGGGCATGTGGGTCCTGATGTATTGCTAACCTTAATTTAAAGCCAACAAAGATTAAGGAGGAACCGTGCTAGGGCAGTAGTAGGAGCCACAGGCTGTCACTGTCTAATGCTCTAGTGCTCTGTGATTTGGTCATGGCAAAGTGATTCAACAGATTATTACATCCCACTCTTCTTGGGCTTGATATCCTCAAAGTTAAAGCCACTAAAAAGCTACACAACAAAGGCAGGGAAGCTACGTCTAGAAGGGTCCATAAAATGCACTACATTTTCCAGGAACAGCCCCTTAGTCATAGCTCATTGGAATACAAACAAGCATTATCAGTCTGTTAAATTAGCCAGCTTACACATCAGGTCCAGGGACCCTGGGCATAGGAGAGTGTGTGCAGGGAGTAGGGGTGGAGGGGGTGGGGAGAAAGAGGCAATGGGCCCTGAGACTCAGACGGGGAAAGGGAGAGGGACTAAGCTAATGCAAGAGGCTACTGGCATGGAGAAGCGAGGGACCTGGGGAGTAATAGAAGCTTTCTCCAGGTAGCCTAGGTTGAGTCCTAAATGCATTTAAAGGGCACTGTCGAGGCCAGTATTTTCAAAAACTTCTTAAAAGGGAATCACTTTGCCAAGAGCTTAGAAGGTGGTTGTTGTTGTTGTTTGCCGTCGAGTCGGCCCCGACTCATAGCGACCCCTCCTTGGGTTTCCGAGGCAGTATCACTACGGAAGTAGAAGGTGGTAGTGTTAACATTTAGGATCCTTTCCCAGCAAGAATGTGATTTTAGGACTCAAACCCTCTTGGTGAAGAACCTAATAGCTAGCAAAGAAGACCAGATCTTGTGGCTGGGCCAACAAGGCCTTGGTCTTCAATCCAACCAAATCTGACCATCTCATGCCCCATACCACTGCGAAGTGCAGTGCAGCCAGACTGGCACCTCTGTTCTGGCTGGACCTCTGTTCTAAAAACTGCCTTTGTCCCATCAGGGGCATTTAACAGCTTACACAAAATGTTTACCAAAGAAAAGGAGTTTGCCTCTAGTTACAGATTTAATCAGTGCCACCAAGACACTTAGCAAGATATATAACCTCTATAACATGGAGATCACAATAGCCTTATAGAACAGAATCCTTGGGAGAACTGAAGGAATTAAAGTATGGGGAATACTTAGAACAGGCCCCATGCTTCTGAAGGGCGGTTATGTCTGAAGGGGTCCCACCTCTAAGTTATTTTGAAAGCAGAGGATAAGGAGGTATTAGGAAGTTTGGGATGAGACACCGTATAGGGAGGGAAAAAGACAAAAATAATTTAACTTTGCTTCCCAAAAGAAGAGGGTAAGGAAAAAGAACAGAGAGGGAGACTGTGCAAGGGAAAAATAGTTGAGTAAATATGATAATGACCTGGTTTTATTTTCTTGTGGGAAACTGTCACACAAGTGGGAGGACTGGAAGGCCCATCTCTTACAGAACAGTATTCCTAAGGATTTGCATTTACCACTTGAGAGTGATTAATATTTACTTCTTTTTTTTTTTTTACCTTTCCTCTACCACCATCTGTAGAAAAAGCTGAATAGCAGAGTAATGAAGAGATGACATATCACGAGAAAGCATGTAGTCAAAAAAATGAAAACGGGAATATGCACAGAATATTCTGACAGAATAATTAATGCATATGAGCCTTCAACATCTTACAGAAATACTTTTTAAAGTAGCTATTCTCAATTTGTAAGAGCAGGTACCCAGATAAAATAACTTGAAACCTTATGATTTTCTGCTTTTACATTAAACACTGCTAGTAAGTCACAGCGAATGGCTCATTGTAAGCTTGGCTTAAAACATCTGAGGCTTTATAACAATCATTGCTGTATATAAAATGTTTAATATGTTTGGTTTTGGCAGAGAGATAATGCAGCAATTCTTTTCCTGGGGTAACCAAGTACTGTTAATTCAAGCAGTCATACTGTGGTGAATCTTTGTGTGGTACACGCAGTAAATATGTTCAGCTGTTGACCAAAAGTTGGAGGTTTGAGTCCATCCAGAGGTACCTTGGAAGAAAGGCCTGGAGATCTACTTCTGAAAAATCAGCCCCCAAAACCCTCTGGAGCACAGTTTTACTCTGACACACATGGGGTTGCCAAGAGTCAGAGCTGACTTGACAGCAGCTGGTGCTGCTTGCTGTGTAAGAGATAACAGCATTACAGAATTCCAGTGTCTGGTTACATTTTTATCTCCAACTGGGTGAATTTTGTTGTTGTTGTTATGTGCCGTCAAATCGGACCTGACTCATAGTGACCCCTCCTTGAGTTTCTGAAGCAGTATCACTATGGAAGTAGATTGCCCAACCTTCCTTCCGAGGAGTGGCTGGTGGGTTTGAACCGCCAGCCTTCTGGTTAGTAGTTAAGTGCCTTAGGCACTACGCTACCGGAGCTTCCTGGGTGAACTTTAATGACTGGCAATTCTAACCAGGGGTTTTAATATAAGATCCTGATTAGGATTGGCTGTGAGAGTACTTTCAGAGTAAATGTTTTGAAGGATCTTACTGAACTTCTGATTATCTGCCTTAATGCTTACTTTAGGCACTTTACTAAGAATATCTGTGAGATTAAAGTGATTTAAGGAATGTTGTTGTTGTTGTTGTGTGCCATCGAGTCGGACCCGACTCATAGCGACCCCTCCTTGGGTTTCCGAGGCAGTATCACTACGGAAATAGATTGCCCCATCTTCCTTCCAAGGAGTGGCTGGTGGGTTTGAACCGCCAGCCTTCTGGTTAGCAGTCAAGTGCCTTAGCCACTATGCTACCAGAGCTCCCATGAGCCTTTAAGGAATGCTCCTAGTCAAATACAGTCAGCTCAAGCAGAAAATCATCACCTTCAATGTCAAGAGCACAGCCTTGAACGTGGCCATCATTTGCCATGTCACTGGTGAGCAGCCTGTCTAAACTAGTAATAATATTGGAGGGTGGAAGAATAAACCCTTTCACCATCTAATGTGCAAAGTAAAAGCCATGGTGTGAAAGTTCTGCCACAGCTTATTTCCATGCTTTAAATTGGAATTGTAGAAAAGCCACATGTAAATTTATAAATAAGTGGAGTATCAAAATTTACTAAGCTTTCACTCTGGGCCAAGTGCTGGGCAGAAAGTTGTGAAAATGCATCATCTCTCTAGGTAGTACAATACTCTCGGGAATTGGCCAAACCAAGTTTCTATCCCCACTCTGCCATTTACCAGCTGCATGACCTTAAGTAAATTGTTGTTGTTGTTAGGTGCCACTGAGTTGAATCCAACTCATAGTGATCCCATGTCACAGATCCAAACTGCCCCACTGGGTTGTTGTGGCTATTATCTTTACAGGAGCAGATTGCCAGGTCTTTGTCTCACAGTGCTGCTGAGCAGGTTTAAACCACTAACCCTATGGTTAACAGTCAAGTGCTTAACCATTGTGTCACCAGGGCATCGTTAAGTAATACTTAACATCAATCTTCTTCTCTGTAAAAGAGACATCTGCCTCACCAGACTGTTGTGAGGATTAAATGGAATAATCCCTGTGGAGCCCTTTACACAGTGGCTGGCAGAGAGGAAGCTTTTAGTTTACTAAAAGGGGCTACTCTTCTTACATTACACTCTCACACCATAACTTTGGAAGAAAAATGGGCATTTTGCCAAAAACAATTAGAACTGTACTAACGAAGTGAGATTAATTTCAAAGTCTTCACTTGGGAAAAGCAATTGTGTGAACTTAAAAAAAAAAAAAGGAAATAGCTCCTTTCTAATCAGAAATCTCAAAAACTGTATCTAAAGTTGTTCTTACCTGAAGCTGCTGCACCAAGAGGTGCTAAATGGATTCTTTGGCCGGCTGACCCAACTTCTTTTTTGAGAAAAGAAGGAATATATCCTGACTGATTGTAAGGAGCATAACTTCCAAGATTTCCTAGTGATGTATCATAAAGTTTCATAATCAGAAGATGGGTATTATACAGTACCTACAACTTCTAAATACTATTTTTTCCTGAGCATCTACTATATTCCAGGCACTGGACTATGCTTTTTACAGATATTCTTACTCAGTCCATATAACAACCCTCTTATGCATATTATTCATATCATATGGCTCTCAGATGTTAAGTAACTTGCCTAAGGCCTTAGTGAGTAAGTGATCCAGTTAGACTCTGAGCCCAAGGCCAAATTCAACCCTGAACACATCGGACACTGTTATGACTCCCATTCTTAACATGAGGGTCTATTTCCTACCAAGAAGTCCACTCTCCTGAAGCCCTCTCTGTGCCTTTCTTCATTTTGTAAAATTATAACAGTAAGTGCATCTATTCTCATAGGATTGTTGTAGGGACTGAATGAAATATACATACATGCAAAGCACATAGCATAGACTCTGGTAATTAATAAGTGTCAGCTGTCATTATCATCATAATCACTATTGAATGATTAATCAGAGAGCAGCTTGGGGATGAGTTGGAAGGAAATCTAAAGTCAGGAGACCAGTCAGAAGGTCACTGCGATGGAGGAAATAAGAGGAATGGGTGTACAGGATGGGAGTGGTAAAGGAAAGGTGAACCAAGAACCTCTAAGTTTCTTGCTATTATGGATTAAATTGTGTCCCCCTAAAATATGTTTTGGAATCCTAACCTCTATCCCCATGGATCCAACGTAACTGAATGCAATGTAATCACTTTCCATAATTCAATCAGTTGTTGAAGTCATACTAATACAGGGTGGTCCTAAACCTAATCACTTTTGAGTTATAAAAAGATCAGCATAGACAGAGATGCGCATGCAGACAGAGATGGAAGAAAGATGCTGTCTGATGACAACAGAGGCAGACATATCCACAAGCCCAGGAACTGTAGGGATTGTCAACTACTGGAAGCTGAAATAGATAAAGAAGGACCTCTCCCTAGAGCCACACTCTGAATTCAGACTTCTAGCTTCCTGAACTGTGAGAAAATAAATTTCTATTCTGTAAACCCACTTGTGGTATTTCTATTACAGCAGCAATAGGAAATTAAGACACTTACTTGAGTGACTGGTATATTATCTTTAAAAAGTGCCTAGGAGGCAAAGTCAGGCAAGGGGAAAGGCCCAGTGCCTGTGGGATATTCAAATTGTAGAATCTATTAGGCAGGCTGGGGATCTGTAATTATCAAGATAGGGTGAGCACAGAGCTAAGGGCATGGAGAAGCCAACTTGGAGGGAGTCACAGAATGTTCAAAGACCCAGAATAGAACCCCAAGGAACACCAGCTTTAAAGGTGAGCAAAGAACATGCCCTTGTGAAGGAGGGGAAATGGAGAGGTAGAAGCTAGGAAGAGCAGGGTATAAAGATTCAAGAGAATATAGAGTGTAAAGAAAGGAGGAATGCCAAGTGAGGAGAGAGATCTGATGGGAAGGGGATGAGTACTGCTTATTGGAGGTAGTCATCAGGATAATGTTAAGACCTGGTGGAAGCTACTCAGTGGAATGAGAAGCAAACAAGAGGTGACAAGAGGAAGTAAATTAGGTGAATAAGCATAACTTCTTTTTCAAGGAGCCTTGTTATACAGGAGAGGAGATGAGCTGTTAATTAGATTAAAGGGGAAGCTGGGCTCTGATCTCCATGGTGGTTTAAAAAAACAGTTCATCTGGCAGCTACTGCTGAGCTGCTCTGACAGTGTTTTCTGCTCACTGGCTGCTGTGCTCTGTATCCCTAGAGTCTATCACGGTGCTATGCAGAGTGGATGCTCTTGAATCAACAAATGCCAAACCAACCACACTAATATTTATCAGAACCTAAAGGATGCTGATACTACAGCTGCTAACAGCAGTAAAGGATTTCTTATAAATACATGTTATCTCCCTCTACTGTCTTTAACATTACTGAATTTTGCATCAGCACAGCTGCCGAATGTGTCCTTTTTCACCTCAGCTATTCACTCTAAATCATGAATCAGTCCTTTTCTTCAAAAATCTTTTGAAAGAAAGTTCAAGGCAGTAATCACATTCTCTAGCAGCTTCAGAACACCTCTCTTGTGCTCATCCATGTCAACAGAGCAAATACTGCATGATTACTGTGTGGGAAAATCCTAGGTATGGTGATACAATGTTACCTTATCAATTGCCACTGATTCAATTCTGACTGTTGTTGTTATGTGCAGTGGAGTCAGACCCGACTCATAGCAACCCCTCCTTGGGTTTCCAAGGCTGTATCACTACAGAAGTAGATTGCCCCATCTTCTTTCCAAGGAGTGGCTGGTGGGTTTGAACCGCCATCCAGCCTTCTGGTTAGCAGTCAAGTGCCTTAGGCACTAAGCTACCAGAGCTCCCCAATTCTGACTAGGGAGGTATTATTTCTTCCATTTTGTAGATGGGGAAACTGACTTCTTGTTGTTCTTGTTAGGTGCCGCCGAGTCGTCTCCAACTCATAGCAACCTTACATACAGCAGAATGAAACACCGCCCGGTCCTGTGCCAGCCCCATGATCCTGACTATAAAACCTGAGCCCATCGTTGGAGTCACTGTGTCCATCTCATTGAGGGCCTTCCCCTTTTTCGTTGACCCTCCACTTTGCCAAACATGATATCCTTCTCCAGAGAACGGTCCCTTCTGACAACATGACCAAAGTATATGCGACTAAGTCTGGCCATTCTTGCTTCCAAGGAGCATTCCGGCTGCACTTCCTCCAGGACAGATCTGTTAGTTCTTTTGGCAGTCCATGGTGCTTTCAGCATTCTTTGCCAGCACCACAACTCAAAAGCATCAACTCTTCTTCGCTCTTCCTTATTCATTGTCCAGCTCTCACATGTATATGAAGCTATTGAAAATATCATGGTTTGTGTCAGGCGCACCTTAGTCCTCAAGGAGACATCTTTGCTCCATCTTCTTGAAACACTTGAAAGAGGTCCTTTGCAGCCGACTTCCTCAGTGCTATACGTCGCCTGATGTCCTGACTGCTGCTTCCACTGGCATCAATTGTAGAACCAAACAATGTGAAGTCTTTGACAACTTCCATCTTTTCTCCATTTATCATGATGCTGCTTATAGGTCCAGTTGTGAAGATTTTTTTCTTTATATTGAGATGTAATCCATACTGTAGACTGCATTCTATAATCTTCATCAGTAAGTGCTTCAAGTCATCCTCACATTCAGCAGGCAGAGTTGTGTCATAAGCATATCATTGGTTGTTAATGATTCTTCCTCCCATCTTGATGCCACGTTCTTCTTCATATAAGAATATGAGGTGTCTGATGTCCTGACTGCTGCTTCCATTGGCATCTGTTATAGAACCAAGCAATATGAAGTCTTTGACAACTTCAATCTTTTCTCAATTTATCGTGATGCTGCTTATTGGTCCAGTTGTGAGGATTTTTGTTTTCTTTATATTGAGGTATAATCCGTACTGCAGACTATAGTCTTCAATCTTCATCAGTAAGTATTTCAAATGATCTTCACTTTCAGCAAGCAAAATTGTGTCATCTATGTATTGCAGGTTGTTAATGAGTCTTCCTCCAATGCTGATGCCATGCTCTTCTTCATATAATCCAGCTTCTTGGATTATTTGCTCAGCATACAGATTGAGTAAGCATGATGAAATGATACAACCCTGAGGCACACTGTTCTTGATTTTAAACCATGCAGTATCCCCTTGATTAGTTCAAATGACAGCCTCCTAGTCTATCTATAGGTTCCTCATGAGTACAATTAAGTGCTCTGGAATTCCCATTCTTCTCAAGAGTATCCATAATTTGTTATGATCCACACAATCAAATGCTTTTGCATAGTTAATAAAACAGTAAACATCTTTCTGGCATTCTTTGCTTTCAGCCAAAATCCATCTGACATCAGCAATGATATCCCTTGTTCCACATACTCTTCTTAATCCAGCTTGCATTTCTGGAAGTTCTCTGTCAATATATTGCTGCAACCCTTTCTGAATTATCTTCAGTAAGATTTTATTTGATGGGACATTAATAATATTGTTCAATAATTTCCACATTCTGTGGGATTATCTCTCTTTGGAATGTGTACAACTATGGATCTCTTCCAATCATTTGGCTAAGGAGATGTCTTCCAAATCTCATGGCATAGCCAAGTGAATGCCTCCAGCAGGGTATCCGTTTGTTGAAATATCTCAATGGGTATTCTGTCAGTTCCTAGAGCCTTGTTTTTCGCCAGTTCCTTAAGTGCAGCTTCGACTTCTTCCTTCAATACCATTGGTTCTTGATCATATGCCACCTCCTGAAATGGATGAACATTGACCAATTCGTTTTGACACAGTGACTCTATGTATTCCTTCCATTTTCTTTTGATGTTTCCTGCATCATTCAATATATTGCCCATAGAATCTTTGAATATTGCAATTCAAGGTTTAAATTTTTTCTTCAGTTCTTTCTGCTTAAGAAATACCAAGTATGTTCTTCCCTTTTGGTTTTTTAACTCCATTTCATTATAATAACTGGTTTGTCTTCTCAAGCTCCTCTTTGAAATCTTCTGTTCAGCTCTTCTATCTTGTCATTTCTTCCATTTGCTTTAGCTACTCTCCATTCAAAGGCAAGTTTCAGAGTTTCTTCTGACATCCATTTTGGTCTTCTCTTCCTTTCCTGTCTTTTTAATGACTTTTTGCTTTCTTCATGGATGATGTTATTGATGTCATCCCACAATTCCTCTGGTTTTCTGTCACTGGTGTTCAATGCATCAAATCTATTCTTTAGATGGTCTCTAAATTCAGGAGGGATATAATCAAGGTAATAATTTAGCTCTCTTGGACTTATTTTAATTGTCTTCAACTTGAAATTGAAGTTGCATATGAGCAACTGATGGTCTGTTCCACAATCAGCTCCTAGCCTTGTTTTGGTTAAAGATATTGAGCTCTTCCATCTCCTCTTGCCACAGATGTAGTCAGTTTGACTCCTGTGTACTCCATCTGGTGAAGCCCATGTGTATAGGTGCTGTTTGTGCTGTTGAAAAAAGGTATTTGCAATGAATACGTCAATGGTCTTCCAAAATTTTATCATGCGATCTCCAGCGGCATTTCTATCTCCAAGGCCATGTTTTCCAACTACCGGTGATTCTTCTTTGTTCCCAACTTTTGCATTCCACTCACCAGTAATAATCAGCACATCTTGATTGAATGTTCAGTCAATTTCAGACTGCAGAAGTTGGTAAAAATCTTCAATTTCCTCATCTTTGGCTTTAGTGGTTGGTACATATGAATAATAGTAGTATGAACTGGTTTTCCTTGCAGGCATGTGGATATTACCCCATCACTGACAGATCTTGAAATATCTCTGTGATGATGAATGACACACCATTCCTCTTCAATCTGTCATTCCTAGTATAGTCGATCATATGGTTGTCTGATTCAAAATGGCCAAAACCACAGCTCACTAATGCCTAGGATATTGATCTTTATATGTTCCACTTCATTTCTGACAACTTCCAATTGTCCTAGATTCATACTTCGTACATTCCATGTTCCAATTGTTAATGAGTGTTTGCAGCTGTTTCTTCTCTTGTTGAGTCGTGCCATATCAGCAAATGGAGGTCCCAAAAGCTTTACTCCATCCATACGTATCATTAAAGTTGGCTCTACTAGGCAACTCTTTCCCAGTCGTATTGAGTGCCTTCTGACCTGAGGGGCTCATCTTCCAGCACTGTATCGGACAATGTTTCAGGGCTATTCATTTTCCAGTAATATATCAGAGAGTGTTTCACTGCTATTGATAAGGATCTCATTGGCCAATTCTTTGAGAATTGGGTGGCTTCTTCCTTCTTCTGAGTCTGTCCTAGTCTGGAATAGCCACTGAAACCTATCCACCAGGAGTGACGCTGTTGGCATTTGCAACACTGGTGGCATAGCTTTCAGCCTCATAGCAACATGTAAGCTACCACAGGACGACAAACTGACAGACAAGTTCGTTCCCTTAGTTGTTCCAAACTGCTCTGCTCACTTCCTAGTCTCCCTTAAAGCTGCTCCAAACCCTGTTCCCGGCACCCCTTCTGGGCCTCCCCATAAAGCCACCTCCAAAAGCTCCTGGTGCCTGGCTCGCCTTCCTGACTGACTTAGGAAACTGATTTAGAGAGCCTAAAACCTTGTCCAAAATAAGAAGGCAAGTGTGTGTGAGAATTGGATTATGCCAGTCTCTAAAAGCCATGCATTTAGCAATTATATGATGCTTCTTCCTATTAGAGAAAGAGAGCATAAAGACAAAAAGTGGATGGACAATTAGGTCTACTTAAATTATTTTGGCTCTGCTTATTACCTGTGAGATGCAAATTTTTAGGGGGGAGCCAGTGGTTAGCACTGTTTAAATCAGGGACACTGAGCCCCTAGGATGCACCATCTCTATTAATCTGGCTAATATCTTCTAATGATTAACATTTAAGAAATGATTTTCTGAACTCTTTAAAAAAATATTCTAGGAATATAAAGAAGAAAAAAAAATAAACAATGCTGTAGAGTTGATTCTGACTCATAGTGACCCTATAGGACAGAGTAGAACAGCCTCCTAAGGTTTCCAAGGCTCTATTCTTTATGAAAGGAGCTCTGGTGGCACAGTGCCTAAGGTATTTGACTGCTAACTAGAAGGTTGGCAGTTCAAACCCACCAGTCACTCTTCTGAAGGAAGATGGAGCAATCTACTTCATTAAAGATTTACTGCTTTAAAAACCCAACAAGGGCCACTATGAGTTGGAATTGACTTGAGGGCATTGAGTTTGGTTTGGTTTTGGTTTATTCTTTATGGAAGCAGATTGCCACATCTTTCTCCCACAGAATGGCTGGTGGGTGTGAATTGCTGACCTTTGTGTTAGCAGCCAAGGGCTTAAACACTGCACCACCAGGTTCCTATTCTAGGAAAAATGATTATATAATTAGAAAACATTCTTTTAATTTTATTTTCATCAGAATTATTTGCTTAGATTCCATAATTTGCCATAACTAATTTAAGAAGCCAAACACAGAGATGAGATTTTTGAGAGGGAATTAGTTCCAGCATCCCTACCACTACCCAAAGAGGTTCTTGACAGCATTTGGAATACTTGTGTTTCTCCCAGGCCTGTTCTGACTTCTAAAATCAAGTGACCTTCATCATCATGGAGGCCTTTCATGACAGGCTTAGGGGGAAAATGTAGAGAAGGAAAACTGGACAAGATATGCAAATAACAAATTGTATAACACTCAGAAATTACCTTGTGAGTCCTCTAATTTGTCAGGAAAACTTTCATTACATGATAGTTTTTCAATTGGTTTAATTATGCTTTCTTCTAAAGAGAAGGCAGATAGAAGGAAAGAGTGAATAATAAGGAGAATGTTTTAGCAAATGCAAAGGAAAAATGGATTAGATGATTCATGGAAAGATACAGAAAGACCACTTAAAATGAGCAATGTTCCCGCATGTCTGTCACAACTTTAACTTGATGCCAACTGTATATTTCTCCTGATACTCAAAGCTGTAGTGCTATAATTTCAGATTATTTGGATAATCAGTTCAGAGTGAAAATTATTTTTAAATAACTAAGTAAAAATAAGCAAGTTACTATATATGCTGCAGTGCAGGACATCTCAGCACTGTTAAGTGGATATGGCTGAGTTTTTCCTTTTTCTTCTCCTAATAGCTGAGTCTTGAAAACATAAAAAGTCTAAAGTGGGTTGATGTCACATCAGAATACCTCAGTATACTACTTACTTGGTACAATAGTGATCTTTTAACTTTTTTGATACAATAGTACCTACATTTTTTTTTTAAGAAAAAGAATTCTGTTCTTCTTACAGACTTTTAAGTTATACCCAAAGTTTTTCAGCATAAATTTAGCAGCTGCAAACGAGGTAATGTCTGGCATATTGTAATTACTGGCATTTAAAAATAAAACTATTACATTTTTTCTTTAAACATTACCAATGGAATCCAAATACCATAGTGATTTTATGCTCATCAATATTGATTTTAAAAGAGTACATGAACAAATTCCTTTTTAACAGTCAGAAACTTCACATTAATCCTTTTTTTACTCCTTAAAACTGAATTTTCATTCATACCTCCCCAAACTTTATCAAAATATATTTTTGGGCTAGAAAGTTTTTTAATTGATCCCCCAACATGTACAAATTAAAATTATTTTTAAAATTTTCTTGTAACAATGTTAAAATACTGTTTTCTGGATATAGTTATAATAATTCTCTGTATATAACTAATCAAACAAGGAAAATATTATAAATTACAGTTATTAAATGTGAAAAGTAAGTTGTTTTTTGAAACATCTCTTATGAGGACAGGACTATTTTTCAAGTAATTCATGTATCCATAAATGAATATACAAACTCTGGTAGCATAGTGGCTAAGACACTTGCCTGCTAACCAGACAGCTGGCGGTTCAAACCCACCAGCCACTCCTCGGAAGGAAGGTTGGGCAATCCTACTTCTGTAGTGATACTGCCTCGGAAACCCAAGGAGGGGTCGCTATGAGTCGGGTTTGACTCGACGGCACATAACAACAACAACAACAACATTGCTAGAAATTTAGCTTAGTGCTTACATTCAACATCAATTCTACTTTTTTTATTCCTTCTTCCTTCCTTCCTCCTGTTTTAAAGTATTTCTCATCTTTATAGATGGAAGCATTAAGAAACTTTGTCAACATAGATAAAAAGTTAGGAATGAAAGGTGTTTTATTACAGCATTGTCACTAAATTCTTTGAACTCCTTTTAAGGTATAGGCTAAAAATCAGATAGTAACTTACCATAAAAAATGATTTTAAATTATCTGTAAGCTAACAACTCACAAAGACCCTAAAGGGGTCGAAATTGACCTGATGGCATGGGTTTAGTTTTTGGTCAGGTAACAACTCAATCAGGTCTTCTTTCAAGTTTTTGTATACTAAGAACTGGAAAACACCTGACCTGAAAATGGATTGGTTCCCCAGTCTTCAGAGTTATTTACTTTCTCAACGCTGACATCAGTATATCAAATTGTTTTTTGATTAGCGACTCAGATAGTTTTACCCCTGGCGAAACAGGAAGTACACCTTAATCTGCAGTGCAAAGTAGTCTTGTTTTCTGTAAAGTGGGAGGATGACCGCTCTGAATAGAGATACCTTTCTCAGGCAGGTCAGGTTTAGGAAAGAATCCACGTAGAAGTGAGGATCTGGCAAATGATTCCCTTAAAACTATCTGTGCTCAAGTACTAGTTGGAAAATCTTTGTGTACTGCAGGGGTACACATATCCCAGATAGAAGAAGGCAGCTGCAATATATTTAAAAGTAAATATCTGTAACAGAAAAAAATGTAAATTTATATTTGAAATATATTCTTGCTTTACCTGCATTACTTCTTTTGAAAGCAAATTCTGCCCCAATGGGTGCCAACGACTTAGGAAATAACAGATTACTCCAAGGGTATGAGTTCCCGTCTTTTCTACTGGCTTTCAAGGACACATTCTTAGGATTTATACCTTAGGAGAACAAAATCATTTCAAAGATGAGCTTGTGATCATGTACTTCAAGGAGAAATATATAATACATTCAAACAGAGCCTAGAAATAATTTGGGAAAGAGAATGGAAATAAATTTAAGTTAAAATGTAGCAAATACTTGCTTTTTGATGGACCATAGCATGATGTAGGAGCTCTGGTAGCATAGTGCCTAAGGCACTTGACTGCTAACCAGAAGGCTGGCGGTTCAAACCCACCAGCCACTCCTCGAAAGGAAGGTTGGGCAATCTACTTCCGTGGTGATACTGCCTCGGAAACCCAAGGAGGGGTCGCTATAAGTCATGGCTGACTCGACAGCACATAACAACATGATGTACTTTATAAACATTAGATGCTTTCTATATGCTAAGTAATAATAAACATTTGACACTCTTGTTAAACGTTTTGTAAAAATTGAGGTGACACACAATTTTTCTTCAAAACAATGGCTTTCCACGTCATTTACTATGTGCTAGACTCTGGAGGAGCACTTACTGTAGTGGGGGCAACTGACAGGGGACCAAGAACTCAAGAGAGCCTCAGAAGTACACAGTGGACATACAAAGACAGATCTTTAAGGATGATATGTATCTTAGACATCGTCAAGTCTAAAAGAGAAGGTATTGGAATTGCACTTAAGAGCATGGTTTAAATTCTTTATGATTATCTGAAATCTGTGATATGTTGAGTCAGCCCTAGACTTAGGTATGAGTGGTCAAAAAGTTATTTTAACCTACATTTTTGGTTTTGTTTATAAGATTTGAAAACTACTTGACATTGTTTTCATTTCACTGATAATTCTATTTGATTAAACTTGTGAGATGGGAGAGCCATCTAAGCCTTTGGCTCATACATGGAGGTTTCTTTTTTTGTTTGTTTGTTTTTTAATCTGGTACAAAAATCATCACTGAGGACTCCATTAACTTAGGACATTAGCAACTGTCTCCAGGCAGTATGAGCTTTTGCTTCTCACACAGTGAGTTCATTAGAAAGGTTTCATATTTATGAGACATATAATAATATCTCTTGTTTTGAATATAGAAGTGCTTGGCCTCAAATGTTACTTATTATTGGTTCTCTAAGAAGTACTCTCTTATAAATCATTACCCTTTCTTATAGATTATAATTCCTTATGGATTTTGGCTTCTTAATAGACAACCACCTGACAAAAAATATGCACTGTATGGCAATTGTTCATATCAAAAATATCTTTACCCAAAAAGAAAGTGCAAAGTAGGAGAAAAAATAATAATCTCTTTAAATGAACACTGTTTTCATAAATACAGTTCCACAAATAATAGGCCTCTGAATATTTAATTTACCTTTCTAAATTCAATTATCCTTGGCAATATTTGTAAGTAGTTGGTTTTTAAAAGTAAGCATATATACTATTAAAGATAATTAGTTTAATTCTAGGTCTTTCCCAAGACAGAGACTCCAAAATTATTGAAAACAGACACAGCCTAGAATTTTAAATCATGTATTAGTTTGCAAGCTTTTATAGGTCACCAAATGTAAATACCAAACAGTATGTTAAGGAGAAGTAGAAATCAATGTATCAACATCCGTCACCTCAAAGGAAGTTAAAAGTCAGTTAGCAAATATTTATTGAACACCTACTACATGCAGACAGTATGTGTGGCATTGGAGGAAAAGTGGTGAACAAAATAGCCCTGTTTCTACCATTTTGGGTCTTAAAATCCACTTTAATAAAAAGGGAGACAATAAATAGTTATAATTAGCAGTGTGAAAAGTGTTTAGAAGAATCTGGTGCTGAGAGCAAATAACCAAAGCAATTCAGCCAGTCTTTCCTTTTTTTTCCTAAAAAAAAAAAAAAAAAAGTAATTTTTTAAATTAAAATGTGAAGGATGCCGAGGGCTCAGCTACACAGAGGATGTGAGATGGGAAAGAACTCAGGGAAGATCATCAGCAATGATGGAGCAAGAGAAGGAAGTGGTACCAAATGAGGCTGGAGAAGTGACTGGGAGCTAGATCAGGTAGGAATTCATGTGCCCTGGTAAGAAATTTAAAAAGCAGTAGGAGAGGCAACTATAAAAATGACACAGGACTCTCCATAAACAAGGTGGAAAGAAGGGTGGTAAGTGATGGGTGGGACTAGAGAAAAATCTACAGACCAGGGTTTCAAACGGGCTAAGGTGTGAGTGCTCTTCCACATGCAACTGCTCTTCCAGTTGCCAGTGGTGCCATTTGGCATCGATTCATGATACTGTCCTTGTCTGGGAGCAGGGAATGAGACCCAGAGAGCACCAATCCAAGATGGTTAGTGTGTCCACTGCACACTCTATTTGTTATTAACTACCTTGCAATAATTAAGTACCTAAGGCTTACAGGGTAAGCTCAGAGATGAGTGAAAGCCCACCTAAGTAACAGAAAACAGAATCTCAAAGTCTTATTCCAAAAACACAACCAGTCAGTATCAGGTCAATTAACTATGACTCTTGCATCTCTTTCTCTGAAGTCCAGTGTCATAGATCTGCCAGTCCTTGTAGTACAATGCCATGCTACTCGGCAATTATATGGTACATTTCTATAGCTCCCATAATCCGAAAGGTTGATGCTTCATAAGTCCTTTCTCACAGAGCTTTACACTGAAAAAGAGAGGACCCCTAAGGACATTTTTATTATTATTTTATTCCTGAAGATACTAAATTATAAAAGTAACTATGTACTTAGCTTCTGTTAAGGGTGATGAAAAATTTGGGAATGGTCAATGGCAATGGTTGAACAACATGATGAACATATTTAATGTCACTGTGGTAGTTAAGGGAGCTCTGGTACCATAGTGCCTAAGGCACTTGACTGCTAGCCAGAAGGCTGACAGTTCAAACACACCAGACACTCCTCGGAAGGAAGGTTGGGCAATCTACTTCAGTAGTGATACTGCCTCAGAAACCCAAGGAGGGGTTGCTATGTGTCGAGTCCGACTCAACAGCACATAACAACAACAACAGTGGTAGTTAAGGTTGTGTGTCAACTTGGCTGGGCCTGGTTGAATGGCTGAGCAGCTAGTGGTAGTTATTCCCATGATGAGACTGGCAATCAATTCCATGGTGGGAACTATCACAAGCAGCTCAGTAGCTGCTTTAGGGATGTGGTTTGCTTCCCGTGTGTAAGAAGTAGCTTTGGGAATGGTCTCCAGCTTATGGTACACTTGAACCCTGCATATAGCCGAGTCATTGTTCAGCAGCCTGCCATGCTCTGTCGATTCTGGGACCTTCAATGGACTTGGATCAATGGCCTGCCATGTTATTTGGTAACATTGGGATTGTGCCATTTTATTTGTCGAATTTGGACCTGTTGGCCTCAGCAGCCAGTAGCTACCTGAGTGAAGAGATGCCTCTAGCTTCAGTGGGCCAGGAGCAAGAGGCAGAGCTGAGGTCCAAGGTCAAGGGGTTTTCACCCAGCCCCTAGAGCCTGGCATTTTGAACTTGGAGTTAAAGCCTTCAAACTGTAAGAGAATAAACTGCTGTTTGTTAAAGCCACCCCATTTGTGGTATATTCTTGTGAGAGGAGCACTAGGTAACCAAAACAGTCACTTAACTGTACATATGAAGATTGCTAAAATAGAAAATGTTTTATTACCTATATAATTACCACAAAAACAGTTGAACAAAAAATAACTATACATCATAAACAAATTTCACAGATAATTTCTTACTCTGTTTCTATCCTTTGTAGTGAGACTGGTCCACATTAGGTACTCAATAAATGTTTGTCTACGTGACTTGAACTGAGCTCAAGTCTGGTCTCAAACCTCACCCAGAGCTTAAAGGACCATCTTCAAGACAAAGAATGCCAATTAGGCAACTGAAAGGCTCAAGTTTAGATTTCAAACAATTCTTCTAAATTTTGTATATTCCTTAAGTCTAGTTCTAGCCTTGTAAAAGCTGGACAATGAATAAGGAAGATAGGAAGAATAAGGAAGACAGATGTGAATTGTAGTGTTGGTGAAGAATGTTCAATATGCCATGGACTACCAGAAGAAGGAAAAAATCTGTCATGGAAGAAGTAGAGCCGAATATTCCACAGAAGCAAAGACAGCAAGACTGCATCTCATGTACTCTGGATACATTATCAGGAGGGACCAGTCCCTGGAGAAGGGCATCAAGGGAAGACCCTCAACAAGACGGATTGACACAGTGGCTGCAACAATGGGCTCAAACACAACAATCGTGAGGAAGGTGCAGGACTGGGCAGTGTTTCATTCTGTTGTACACAGGGTGGCTATGAGTCAGAATTGACTCAATGGCACCTAACAACAACAACATGTTATAGCTATGCTTCTGACTCAAACTAATCTGCCATTTGTTAGACCTTTTTAGTTCAAAAGAAAATGTCCAGACCAAACAGATCAGATCAGATCCGATATATGTTCCTAAAAACCACATGAGGAAGCAGAACTATGAAAGGAGGCAATTTGGATCCATTTGCCTTTTGCTAAAAATTTATAGTGGTCTTTTCTACCACCAGATGGCTCACTCCTATACGCATTCAAACTCACTGCCATCGAGTCCATTGCAACTCACAGTGACCCCTCTTTGGGTTTCTGAGGCAGAAACCAGAAGGCTGGCGGTTCAAACTCACCAGCCACTCCTCGGAAGGAAGGTTGGGCAATCCTACTTCCGTAGTGATACTGCCTCGGAAACCCAAGGAGGGGTTGCTATGAGTCGGGGCCGACTCGACGGCACATAACAACAACAACAACATCTCTATGGAAGTAGATTGCCCAACCTTCCTTCCGAGGAGTGGCTCATGGGTTTGAACCACCAGTTTGGTTAGCAGTCAAATGCTTTAGGCACTATGCCACCAGAATTCCTTATATAGATTCACTAAATTTCAGTCAGACTAAGGTACTTGTTTTAAAAAAAAAAACAGGGAAAAATGTCCCCCAGAAATCTCTTTTCTAGGAACTTTCTGACATCTCTGTTTTTGCAGTCAGACCACAACTCTCTCATTATTTC